CAGTTCATAATCAGTAGATAAAAGATTTTTACGTCTTCCCATCGGAGCTCAGTACTCACATCTAGTAGCTGCTATTTTACCCAACCATCCTGAGTCATACCAGTGGTCCATTGTCTTCAGTGTCCAGTCTCTGCTAATGAGCCAGGACTCACTCAGGCAGAAGAGCTCAATAGATATCCTCAGCAAAACCCCACCTTAGCCTCACACCCCTCAGAAAGCACTATTTAGCTTCAATTATGTTCCACATACCTATAGCATTTAAATAGTATTTCTCACTATTAATGGACCCAGTAACTAGCTGAGTGATGTTGGAAACATCACCTAACCTCGGGGGCCTCATTTTATGACATATAAATAAATCAGGTGGTCACATTATGCCATTTCTAAATTTCCTCCCTGCCTCTAAAATTCTTTTATGAGAGGCCTAAAATAAGATAGTGATATTAGTAAGAATAATTTATAAAAACATAGCAAGTATTTTTCCCTAAGGAATTCTTCACCTCGTTTTCCTGTTGAAAATATTGATCGAGAGATCTTGAGTTCAACTATCTAGAAACGATTCCCATGCTGGGATCCAAGTGAACCAAGGAGTCTGTGCTGAACTGTAAAGTCACTGAGAGGACAACAGCTAAGGGGACAGATTGGATTCCAGTTTGAGGAGAGGAGCACAAGTTCAAAGTCAAGAGAAATTTGTCGAAAGTCAAGTTCCACAGATGAGGCAAGGCCATGAACGTGAAAGGAAACCACACTTCCAAAATGACCAGAAATAGACTGGGTATCAGAGTGGGAAAAAGGATGGTGGCAGGTGGACAATATGAGGCCTTTCACATTCTGTATTGGTTATCTATGGCTATGTAACAAATCACCCTAAAAGTAGCTGCTTGAAACAAACATTTATTTTCTCATATACTTTCTGAGGGTCAGGGAGCTGGAAATGACTTAGCTGGGTGGCTTGGCTCAAGGTCTCTCATGAGGTTGCAACAAGCTGTTGGCTAGGGCTACAGTCTCCAAATTCTTGACAAGGGCCAGAAGATACACTTCCAAGCTCACTCACATAGCATTGGCAGGAGGCTTCCTCTCCACGTGGGCTTCTCCATAGGGTTTCTTGCAACATGATTTCCCCATGCCAAGTGATCTGAGAGGGAGAGGGCAAGAAAGAGATCAAAATGAAACAACAGTGTCTTTATAATGTAATCTCATAAATGGCATATGATCACTTCCACCATAGTCATCTGGTCACAAACACAAACACCAACCCCAGTACAATTGAAAGGGGGACACAGAGGGGTATAAAGGCTAGGATTGCTGGGACCATCTTGAGAGCTGGCTGCCAGAAGTCTCATGTTGCAGGCCATCTGTTTGGGGATGGCTTTTTTGGTGTTAAGGAAAGGAAAACTCAGAGTGGACTTACTATATGAACAAAAGTTTCACAGAGTGTTAGGAGCTAAGCTCAGGCTCAAAGGTAACCAGTGCTAGGGGCTGACAAATGAAGGGAGATGGACAGGGCTATAAATATGAAAAAACTTAACAGAATAGAGCAGAAGTTTGGCAAACTTCTTCTAGAAAGGGCCAGATAGTAAATATTTCGAGCTATGGGCCATACAGTCTCTGTTGGCAATTACTCAACTTGGCCATTGTAGTGTGAAAACAGCCATAAACAATATATAAAGGGATGAGTGTAGCTGTGTTCCAATAAATCTTTATTTGTGAACACTGAAATTTGAATTTCATATAATTTTCATGTATCACAAAATATTATTCTTCAGATTCTTTTTAATCATTTAAAAATGTAAAAGTCGCTCTTAGCCCACATGTCATGTAAAACAGACTATGAGCCAGATTTGGCCCATGAATGTAGATGGCCAAGGCTAAGTAAGACCTGATTGAAAGATGAGCAATATAGTAAAGTGCTATTTTTCAAGATAAGTTTTAATCATAGTAATATGGTGAATAGTTCATGTCCCTCCTCAAGGAGTTCAAACTCATAATATGTAAGATCCCCTAAAAATGTTTATTAGCAACTTTAAACTCCTGATGTTTTAATTAGTAATATTGGAGGAAATGGAACCAAAACCAGACATGGAGCAGACCAAGGTTTAATTGAAAACTCATCTCATCTGTTTTGTTCATTGGTTTTGTTTCTTAAATTCCACACAAAACAAACAAAAAAACAGACTCTTAAATACAGAGAACAAACTGATGCTTTTCAGAGGGGAGGTGGTGGGAGGAATGGGTGATAGGTGATGGGGATGAAGAGTACACTTCTTATAATGAGCACCGAGTAATGTATAGAATTGTTGAATCACTCTATTGTACATCTGAAACTAATATAACACTGTACCTTCATTATACTTTAACAAAATCAAAAAACAAAAATCTCACATCATCTTTTAAAAATGAAAATCCAGAGGTTTTTTTAGTAACTGCTATGTAAATATTTTATTTGGTCACATTTACTTGTTGGAAATCTTGCTTTCATCTTTTAATAAAATAATTAAAAATAATTTAATGAATAATAAAGAGGATATATGCAATTTAAGCCAAATTTATTTCACTAGGATAAAACAAAGAGAGCCATAGGAATTTGAGATCAAAAACTAATCTTTAAAGAACTGAACTTTTGAAACTAATGTGACTCCCAAACAATAGACACTTCAAATTCATGAACCAACCTTAGTAAAACTATATAACAGGATGGCAGGACCATGCACTGAAAATCTCCAAGTGTGTTATGATGGCTTGGGAGAACATTAGTGCTGATGTCTAAACTCTTGCTCCTTTGAATTTTATTTTATCTTTTATAAATATGAGGAATACAGCAGGAAGAATTATTATGCATATTATCTGAGTTTTCCAAATTGGAAAAAGAAATTGAATTGGTCTGTTTCCTTTTATGATTACTTAGATTTCATTTCAAGAGCATGCTGAATGCAGGTCCCTTTAATACAATAATAGACAATAAGCCATCTGCTGGGTAGTATCTTCCTAACTGCTGATGGCCTCAGAGCACAGAGCCCTCTCAGCCATTCCCAGGGTAACTCAACTGAGAAGAAAAGTCCCCAAACTGGCTAAATCACCATAGAACTATGCCACCCCATTTCTCAGTCTCATGTGTTCATTCTCCCCTCATTGCTCCATTCGTTCATACAGCTACTGTTGAGTTTCTGTTATTTTCCCAGTCCTGGGTTCCACATAAGAACTTCTCTCCAGGTTAAATCTGACCTAATCCCAGCAAGGTTACAGAACCCTCATCTCTAACAGTTGTTATTCAGAGAAATTCAATTCATCAGTTTGCCTTGACACCACCTATAATAAAAAACAGTGCCTTAGGGCACCTGGGTAGCTCAGTCAGTTAAATGTCTGCCTTTGGCTCAGGTCATGATCTCAGGGTCTTGGGATTGAGCCCTACATCAGGCTCCATGCTCAATTGGGAGTCTGTTTCTCCCCCTCCCTCTCCCTCTGCCCATCCCCCTACTCATGCTCTCTCTCTCTCTCAAATGAATAAAATATTAAAAAACAAACAAAACAAACAAGAAACAGTGCCTTTGTTCATTGACTTAATTTTTGTTACTTTTAAATGAAAGTAACAGCCAAAGCTAGGAAAAGCCCAATAGCATATTCTTATACTGATTAATAAATGAGCCTAATATTTATTTTACATATATGCCTGTTAAGTAATAAATCTGTATCATTAAATTAGAAAAAAAAAAACAGAAACAGTACTTTTTTTTAAGATTTTATTTTTAAATAATCTCTACACCCAGCATGGGGTTTGAACTTACAACCCCAAGATCGAGTCACATACTCTACCGACCAAGCCAGCTGGGTGCCCCCAGATTTAGTACTTTTATCTTATTTTATTTTTTATTTTTCTAAAAGATTTTCTTTTTTCATTTATTCTAGAGAGAGAGAGCATGTGAGCAGGGGCAGGAGCAGAGGGAGAGGGACAAGCAGACTCATTGCTAAGCATGGAGCCCAAGGCAGGGCTCAATCTCACGACCCCAAGATCAAGACCTGAGCCAAAATCAAGAGTTGAATGCCCAACTGACTGAACCACCCAGGCACCCCAAAAATAGTACCTTTAACAGTTGTCTTTTACCCTAATCAGGGTGTTGCATAATAAAAAAAAAATACATCTCTGTTAGTTGGATAGCGTTCTTAGTTCAGAGAATCAGTGATTATAAGTGGACAAAAGGACTCTCTGGATATGATGCCTGGTGCTGTTCTTACTTCTCACATCCAGCAACCCAGCATGACATGTCAAAGATATGAGAAAAAGTGCCAAGCTAGAATAGAGGATTCTGCTCATAAATTGTACAACCATCATCAGTTATCAGAAGAAGTTGTTTTAGTTGGAGGGGCTATTGGAATGCCCTAGGGAAACCTTCTGATTCTTTATTGATTTGATTCAGTCAGGAGATACACTGCTCTATGAACCACTGACTTCATTCTTATGAGGTAGGGCAATTAGTTAGAAAGAGAAGAAATGTACTGTTTGAAAGAAAGACCATGAGAAGGGACACTCCCTTGCTTGAACTATGAACAATCCATTAGAGATCTAATAAAAGTTGACATTTTTTATAATATCTGAGCTGGGATGAAGTGTGGGAAGACAGGCAGCTCTGTGTCATTACTGCATACAAGGCCCTCCATTTTCCCACTCAAGCCTGTGAGGCCATTAACCCAATGTCCTCCAGCTCATTCCTCTTTTTGCCACATTCTGACCTCTGGAAAATTAGGTCAGTTAATACTTTAGGACATTTATCAAAATGATAGTTCTGAACTGATTTAGATAAGAAAGAATGCATATAATTTTAAAAGGTTTCTTTATCATGCATGATGTATTTACCCATAGTCATAACTTCATGAATGAGAAGAAGAAAGCATTCATCGTCAAGTGAGGAAAGAAATATTTTCTCCATCAGCAAAAAAGATATATATTTGGTGAGCACCTAACTACATATCAAAGAGACTTACACATCTTATTTCTTGTCTTTCAGGAGCTGCCCATTCTGAGTGGAAATCATGTAAGTGAAACAGGAACTATGGCATAAAAGCAATAAACCAGTTCATGAATACGCAGTGCCTTATTTACATCAAATTCAAGTCAAAAATGATTTAAGGCTAGGGATTAGGAATAGCAGTCTATCTGGGGTAAGACTAGGGAGGCTGGGGGTACAATTTCAATTCTAGTCAAGAGGGAGAAGTTTTCAACTCTTTCTAATCAATACAGAATATTCTTTAACTGTATACCTTAAAACAGCAAACTATGGTTTGAAATGATGACCTGAGAAAAGGGTCATCATTGTTTCTTCTTAGAAACAAGGAAGAGACAAAGCCCTGTGCTCTGTTGCCCACACAGGGCCTACGCTTGCCCCAGGGGAACTCGCCTGGCCTGTACTCACAGTCCAGAGGCTGAAGGCTGGAGGGCCTACTGTCTTAGGCTGCATTTGGGCACACTCTGGAGGTGAGCCCCAGAAGCAAAAGTGAGGAAAGTAAAGTGGGAAAGACAGGAGGAATACAAACCACTATGGTGTGTGCTATTGACTTGATTGTTTCTCTGGGCACTAGAGGCTCAGGCTTATTGTAGGAAAGTCCCTGAGGTCCCATGCTGAAAGTAGCTCTAAATTGTCCCCCCAAAAGATGGAAGCCTGGTCTATTCATTTATGATGAAGATGCCATGAATACACAATGGGGAAAGGACAGTCTCTTCAATAAATGGTGTTGGGAAAACTGAATAGCCATATGCAAAAAAATAAGACTGGACCATCTTACACCATACATAAAAATAAATTCAAAATGAATTACACACTTGAACATAAGACCTGAGACCATAAAACTTCCAGAAGAAAACATAGGGGGTAAGCTCCTTGACATCAATCTTGGGGATGATTTTATGAATTTGACACCAAAAGCCAAAACAACAAAAGCAAAAAAAAAAAAAAAAAAAAAAAATAGACTATGTCAAAACCTTCTGCACAGCAAAGGAAATTATCAACAAAATGAAAGGCAACCTACTGAATGGGAGAAAATATTTGCAAATCGTGGATCTGATAAGAGGTTAGTATTCAAAATACATAAAGAACTCATACAACTCAATAACCAAAAAAAGGTTTGATTGAGGAAGTGAATACACATTTTCCAAAGAAGACATACAGATGGCCAACAAACACAAGAAAAGATGCGTAACACCACTAATCATCAGGGAAATGCAAACCAAAACCACAATATCACCTCTTACCTGTTAGAATGGCTACCACCAAAAACACAAGAAATAACAAGTTGGTGAGGATGTGGAGAAAAGGTAGCTCTGGTGCCCTGTTGGTGGGGGCATAAAATGATGCAACCACTATGGAAAATAGTATGAAGATTCCTCAAAAAAATTAAAAATAGAACTATCATATGACCCAGGAGTCCACTTCTGGATATATACCTGAAGGAAATGAAAACAGAACCTCAAAGAGATATCTGCACTCCCATCTTCATTGCAGCATTATTTATGACAGCCAAGACATGGAAATAACCTAGGTTTCTATCAGAGAATGAATAGATAATGAAGATGTCACACACACACACACACACACACATAAAAAGGAGGAAATTCTGCCGCTTGCAACAACCTGGATGGACTTTGAGAGCATTATGCTAAATGAAATGTTAGAGAAAGGCAAATATTGCATGTCTTTATTCTTCAGTGACTTGAACAAATATATGGAACCTTCAAAAACAGACTCATAGAAACAGATTGGTGGTGGTCTGAGATGGGTAGGGTTGGGGGGGGATGTAAAGGAAATTGATGAAAATGGTCAAAAGGTGCAAACTTCCAGTTATAAGACAAATAAGTCCTGGGGATGTAATGTATAGCCTGGTGACTCTAGTTAACAATACTGTATCTGAAACAATAGTGTATCTGAAAATTGCTAAGAGAATAGATTCTTATTATAAGAAAAAAAAATGTATGCTTTGTGATGGATGTTAAACTTATTGTAACAATTTCACTACATATATATATATGTAAAATCATTATGTTGTAAATCTAAAGTGAATACAATGTTAAATGTCAATTATATCTCAATAAAACTCGGAGAAAAGAAAAGATAGGAGGTTGGGCATTATCAGTGTTGCTCCAGGGTTGTTCCTGAAGGCATTAAATCCCTTGAGCTTTCCAGCTACAATGTCCCCACCTGAATGAGTGAGTATAGCTTCAGAGGAAGTTCAAAGGTAAGAAACAAACATGCGAAAGGTGCTTGAGACAGGACACTGCAGCATTAACTGTCTGCTTCTCCTGCAGCTAAAATTGGAGGCGGGATGCGGGGTGTGTTACGGACACGAGTGTCTGCTGGCTAATCTCTTGCAGCTGTCAGATCTACTCATGTCCACATTGGATTCACTCAGTTGGATTCACCTGTCCTGGACACCCCAGTGGATGTCCTGAATTCTAGATATGCATCTCCCTGTCACATTATAGCAGCAACAGTAGCTCTTCATGATAATCAATTGATTTCTCCTGCCGGTATAGGTACTCCTTCCTTGCCTGGTAGTCTCCAGTCTTGAGACCAAATTGCCCAGGCTGTAGACTCGCTATAGATCAACTTTCATGGAAGCCTTACTGTGTCAAGGCCAAAGCAATCTTCTGGAACCAGAATTTTCAATTCATTAGAACTTAGAGTCGCAGGATGGATGGGTGCTGAGAGTGATGATGAGGTCAATCCTACTTTTGTCCTTTAGTTCCTGGACCTATGAAGTCTAGCTAACAGAGATGCAGCACTCTGTACCAGGCAGTAGTTCATTGCAGGTGCCCCATCCTGAAGGACAGAATCCCCAGGCTCATGCCTTTTTGAAACTTTGACTAAGCCATCCCGATGTTCTTACTGCTTCCAGGTAATGAGATATGTGGGAAAACCCACTGTATCCATGGTCATGTGCCCATTGTCATACTTCCTTTGCCATAAAATGGGCCCTTTGATGCAAGACAATGTTATCTGGGATCCCATGCCTATAAATGAAGCACCTTGTAAGCTCTCAGACCACTGTGCTTACAGATGTGCTGCAGGTGTGGAATGCAAACCCAAATCTAGGATAGTTGTCAGTTTCAATAAAGATAGAGCTCTTCTCCTTCCAGAGTTGACTGTGTCCAGTGTAATTTACCTGCCATCAAGAGGCTGACAGTTTATACATACCAAAAATAGAGCTCCTGATATTCTCCCTCAAACCTGCTTTCCTTTGATCTTCCCTGTCATAATTTATGGCAACGATATTCTTCTAAAGCTAAAAACAAAGCCTAACAACTTTGGGATAAGCCTAGACTCCTCTCTTTTTTTCATGCTCTGTAGCTGATGAACTAGCAAATCATGTTGGTCTGCCTTCAAAATATACCCAGAGTATGGTCTCTCCTTCCCCATTGCTACCCCAAATTTACCTCTGTCAACTTTTATCTGGATTATTGGAATAGCCTTTAACTGGTCTCCCTACTTCTGTCTCTGGCCCCATGAAGCCTATTCTCAATCAGTCATCTGGACCAATCCTGTTAAAACACAAATCCTGGGGCGCTTGGGTGGCTCAGTCGTTAAGCATCTGTCTTCAGCTCAGGTCATGGTCCCAGGGTCCCGGGATCGAGTCCCACGTCGGGCTCCAGTCCCACGTCGGGCTCCAGTCCCACGTCGGGCTCCCTGCTCAGTAGGAAGCCTGCTTCTCCCTCTCCCACTCCCCCTGCTTGTGTTCCTGCTCTCGCTATCTCTCTCTGTCAAAATAAATAAACAAAATCTTTAAAAAAAAAAAAAAAAACACACACACAAATCCTATCTTGTCATTCCTCAGTTCAAAACTTTCAAATGGCTCCCAGTGTCAATCAAAGAAAAAGTCAAAGGCCTTACAAGGGCCCATATATCCCTATGTGATCTGAGTCCTTGTGGCAGAAAGACTCCCAGGAGGCCCCATGATCCTCCCTCCTGGTGTCCATGTCTTTGTGTGATCCCCTCCCCTTGAGTATTGGTGGGAGCTGTGACTGTCTTCCAACCAAAAGAACACAGCAAAGGTGCCAGATGTCACTACTGTAATTACATTTATGGAACTTTATGTAACACTCCCTCTGCTTGCAGACTCACTCTCACTCTCCTGCTGGCCTTGAATAAGCAAGTTGCCATGTTGTGAACTGCCTATGGAGTAAGCCATCTGGTAGGCCTAAAGCTGAGGGTGGGGTCCACTGAGACCCAAGAAGAAACCTTTACGGCTCTCAGTCTTACAGCTACAAGGGAATGAATTCCAACAACCTGAGCGAGCTTGAATGTGGGTGCCTCCCTAGTTGAGCCTCCAGATGAGAACATAGCCCAGCTGACACCTTGACTGCAGCCTTGTGAGACCTGAGCAGAGGACCCAGTTAGGCTGAGCATGGATTCCCAACCCAAGGAAACCGTGAGCTAATAAATGGGTGTTGTTTCAAGCCTCACAGTTTGTGGTAATTTGTTAGCAGCAATACATGACAAATGTAGTCCTGTTTCTTTTCTGAACACATCTCCTCCCTCTGTCCTCACCATCCACTCTGCTTGAGCTACCTAGGCCTCCTCGTTGTGTCTCAGATGAGCCAGGCACCTGCCCATCACAAAGCCTTTGCAGGGCACCTGGGTGGCTCAGTCGTTAAGTGTCTGCCTTCAGCTCAGGTCATGGTCCCAGGGTCCTGGGATCAAGCCCCACATCGGGCTCCCTGCTCTGCGGGAAGCCTGCTTCTCCCTCTCCCACTCCCCCTGCTTGTGTTCCCTCTCTCACTGTGTGTGTCTCTCTCAAATAAATAAAATCTTTAAAAAAAAAAAAAAAAAAAGCCTTTGCATTTGCTGTGCCCCTTAGCTTGAGATATTCTTTCCTAGGATATACACATGGCTTTTTGCCCTCACTCACTTCTTGTTTTCACATAAAAGGCATCTTCTCAGTAGGCCTTCTCTAGCTAGCTTATCTAAAATTTCACCACCTTCCCTCATTTTATAACTTCCTTCCCTGTTTTATTTTTTCTCCTTGGAATTTATCATCCTATAAC